CGGGTCCTGGGGAGGAGGGAGGGTTTCCCCCAGGACCGGGGGGATGGGGGGGGGGGGGAACAAACCGGCAATCCCAGGAATTAGGATAATAGGTTCGGAGGAGCACCCGGAAGGGCGAGGGTATCACCGCCAGTAGATTTCTTCTGACGCGAGCGGGCTTCAGTCATCGACATGTTTCGATGGAACCTCAAAGGAGGAGACTGCGAGGACTGGGTGGAGGCAGTAGTATACTATGCTATTCGAAGGGGCCGAAAGTTAGCTTGACATTCATCGACACTAAGATGAGGGAGGGCAAAATTGTCCACCCCCTCATCCATGACCACGCATTGTTCCGCGACAACCACCACTGCCCCCCCCCCCCCGCGTTCTTTGGTTAGCCGGGTTGCCCAGCCTACCCATATGACATGTCAGGTTTCGCACAGCAAACGCAAGGATGACGACCAGCTTTGGTTCATCCCTTGTGAACTGTAGCCTGGGCCAGCGAGTTCCCGGCGTATATCGCTCCGCCCCGGGATGTGAGGTCTACGGTCTGGAACGACTACGGCATGCGTCTACATGAGTACCCCTGCCCTGCCCCCCCCCCTCCCCCCCGCACGCACGCACGGTATACACTCTATCGGTCCGCACCTCCGCCTCAGCTTCCGCTAGCCTTAACTCCCGTCGCTCCAGCGCCAGCCGGAGCTCCGCGGCCCCGTCCTTCGCCGCCGCCAGGGCATCCCTCTCCCGAGAGAGCTCCGCCGTGGCCGCTCGCAGCCCTTCCTCGGCGGCGACCCGTCTCCGGTCGATGAAGTCCGCGCGCTCCACGAGCGGACGGTACACCTTCAGCTGCTCGAGGTCCGGAGGAGGCCAAGACCGGGGTCAGTCGAGGCCAGAGGGGTCGGAACGGACAGGCGGCTCGCGGTGTGAAACTATTTCGGATAGGGTGTGTGTGTGTGTGTACTCATAGCCGTGCATGCCGTAGTCGGTAGACCATTGACCTCGCATCCCTACAAAGCCGGAGCCGGGACGGAGCACGCCGGGTTCTCACCGGACCAGGCTCTCACATTACCTTACCAAGCGCGAAGCGCCGTGAGGCATTGAGGTATATTGAGGAATATGGGGCTGGAGGGACACAACACTATTACCTTTTTCCCGCACACACACTGTATACACGGCCAGCCACGTACAAAATTGAATAGACAGTCTTGACGGGTGTGTTGTACCTGCGCCAGCTCCAGCTCCACCTCCGAGCGCCGCTCGCTAGCGACCACGAGCTCGGCGCGCAGTGCCTCGTTGGCCCCCTGTATCGACTTCACCTCCGGGATCAGCCTGTTCGCGCCGGCCAGTTCCTGCAAGAAAACGAGTTTGGCGGTAGAAGGCGAGGAATGACATGGGGTACGGGCGGGTGGGCGAGCGTGCAGGCTGGTTGATCCTTCCCGTGTGGGCATGTATCCGTTCGTACCGTTACGTGACATAACGGAAGATATCACCCCCCCCCCCCCCCCCTTTG